TCTCTCTCTCTCTTTTCTCCCTTTTCTCCCTCTTTCCCATTTCCCCCTTTCTCCCTTTCTATCCCTCTCCTCTTTCCCCCTCTCTCTCTCTCTTCCCCCTTTTCCCTCTTCCTCACTTTCTCTCCCACTCCCCCTTTCCCCTTTATCTCCTTTCCTTCTTTCTCACTTTCTCTCCCTTCTTCCTCTTTCCCCCTTTCTCTCCCTTCCCTATTTCCCTTTCTCTCCCTCATCCTCACTCCCTTTCTCTCCCTCTCCCTCTGCCTTTCCGTCTTTCTCACTTTCTCTCCCTCTCCCTTTCCCTCTTTCTCACTTTCTTTCCCTCTCCCTCTTTCACCCTTTCTTTCCTCCCTCTTTTCCCCTTTCTCTCCCTCTTTCTCCCTTTCTTGCTCTCCTTTTCTCCTTTTCTCATCCTCTTTCCTCTTTCCCTTTCATTCCCTTCCCTTTCTCTCCCTCTCCCTCTATCTCCCTTTCTCTCCCTCTCCCTCTTTCTCCCTTTCTCTCCCTCTCCCGCTTTCTACCTTTCTCTCCCTTACCCCCTTCCTCCTTTTCTCTCCTTCTCCGACTTTCTCCCTTTTTCTCCCTCTCTCCCTCTCCCCTCTTTCTCCCTTTCTCTCTTTCTCCCCCTCTCCCCCTCTCCCTCTCCCTTCGAAAACAGCTGTTAACCAGTTCCTGTTCCCCAATTAAAAAGAATTGCCGCAAAATAACAACGATACTACAAAAGCCAGCGCAGGTCATCGGAAACAACACCGATATTTACTACCAAGGCTATTATCACCCTACAATAATCCGCCAATTAATATGATAAAAATAATACGTAAACAAAATGTCAGATGAAATCGGTCGGTATTTTTCGATTTCATATCTTTACGTATTTCGGCCATGAAAATATTTACATCCCGCGTAAAAATAATAATAATAATAATAATAAATAAGTAACTAAATGAATGAATAAATAAAGTGAACAAAAAATAAATAAATAAAATAAAATAAAAATAAAAAATTAAATGCAAATACATACCATTAATATTATTAATACCCCTTTTACTAATAACCTCTTTTCACTGCATTTAATTGCCTGCGTCACAAACATCAAAGAAAAAAATGTCTCCCCAAGATGCAATGCTAAACAACACACCTGAACCATGGAAACGTCTTGATCGATTCCTTTGAAAAGGCGTGTGAATTTATAAGCATATATTCAGTCAGAAACATAAACATTGGTACATATACTCGCGGATATGTGAATATATTTGTGTGTGTGTGCGCGCAAGCGCGTGCGTGTGTGTGTGTGTGTGTGTGTGTGTGTGTGTGTGTGTGTGTGTGTGTGTGTGTGTGTGTGTGTGTGTGTGTGTGTGTGTGTGTGTGTGTGTGTGTGTGTGTGTGTGTGTGTGTGTGTGAGTGAGTGTGAGTGTGAGTGAGTGAGTGAGTGAGTGAGTGAGTGAGTGAGTGAGTGAGTGAGTGAGTGAGTGAGAGTGAGTGAGTGAGTGAGAGTGAGTGAGTGAGTGAGTGAGTGAGTGAGTGAGTGAGTGAGTGAGTGAGTGAGTGAGTGAGTGAGTGAGTGAGTGAGTGAGTGAGTGAGTGAGTGAGTGAGTGAGTGAGTGAGCGAGCGAGCGAGCGAGTGCGAGAGAATGTTCGTTCGTGTGTATGTACAAACATACACACAAACACCCCCTACACACACGCGCGCGCACATAAACTACCGAGAACCGCCCTAATACCCCCGTTGTCCCGGCCCTAACACGCACACAAGGGTCATATTCGGGCTAATTAATCAAGCTGAGCACGGGACAATCGCATTCTGAAGTGGATCGC